AATTACAGCAGCATCTGTCCCCTGTAAGCTGTTCTTTAGGCTTTTTCTATATATTTTCTTTTAAACAGAAAAAGAGACTAGTTCCATGAGCTTCAAAAACCAAAGTTGCCTGGTTTCCTATGGATTTCTCTCTCCAAAGGCGAATATTGACTCAAGTAGACTTCCATTTCTCGTACCAACAGCATGAAAACGATACCAATACCAACAACATTACCACAGTACTATCAAATGCCACAAGCTTTTGGAGAACTTGGTATAGCAGAAATTATGGATTGTGATACTACCGTGGTATCAGAATAGTGCTCACTCACTGCCAGTCTCAAGGCTGAATGAGCGGTGGCTAAGGAGGCATGATCTCTGAAAGGAGCCTTACTGTCAGGCTTTTTTAAGAGGGTCTTTTGTTTGCAGGGCTCTGATACGTAACAGGGAATGACCTCCAGCTGCACCAACAGGATGTCTCTCCCAGAGCTGGAGATCTGTCCTCCTTGAACTTGCTGGAATTTATTATTTTTGAGACCTCTACCATCTGCCAAACTTAACAGAAGACAACTAGCAAGTTCAAAAGTGTAGGGTAGGCACAATCTCATCTACATACACACACAAAGCACAGTAATAAGCTTCACTTCCTCAGGAAATCAGACTAAAAATGGCACAATCATGAAAAGCAAAGGTCTGGGCAAAATCCCATGTTTTCAGAATTGGAAGCAGAAGTCAATGTCTTGGCTAAATTATTTTTTGCCTTCCTATTTTCTGCTAGGGATTAACTATACGATAGAAAAAAATTGGAAAAGCTTTGTATCTACCAAATTAGAGTCACGAATAACCAGATGTTGCTCTGGAAGCTTACTATTTGAATATGTTTATTTGGAGAGAGTAGATTGGTCACTTAATGGGACACTATCAACTACGTTCTGATATAAAAATGCATGAAATATCCATTTTGGAGACAAGAAAAAGCAATACCTACTAGTCATTTCTTCATAATATTACTCTATAAATGAATGTGGAACCTGCCAGCAGTTAATATTGCCCTGAAGCACTGTGAATAAATATTTGTCTGGTATTAGGCACACACACCCCTCCACATATAAATCAAGGTGCAATGTGCCATACAGATGAACAAGAGAAGAAAAAAAAATCCCTACCTTGTCCTACATTAGACATTAAGTGCTTCTTTTGATCACAAAATAACTCATAAAGCCTATCAAAAAGCTAGCACTTCTCTCTCTGTCAGATAAAAGACATTTCACTGTAATTAAACTTCTGTCCAACTTTCCAGAAGATTAGGGGAAGAAGTCTGACAGGCTCTATTTATATTTCTGACTGACACTCCTTGGGACATCCAAGGAAAAGAGAAGATGGGCAATAGATTTACGACACACTTCTGAGCTAGCAGCACTTATGGAGATGGACGGTTCTGAGCTTATCATCACTCATTCATTGTTTTTTTTATAAAAAAAAAAAATCCCTGCTGCCCAACTCAAAAGTATTTTCTGTTCAGTTTGCAATTTTCATTTCCCAGCCTTCAATGGTTTAGTTTTTTATTTCATTTTTAAGCGACAACGCACACAGCAGGTTGTTTGGGTAAATCAGCTTTAGTGATTTATATGAATAAAGGTGGTAAACAACCATGTTTCTTAAAAGAACTCTTCTCCACTTGGAGAAGGAAAATATTTTTTCAAACATATTCTACGTATCCCTTTTCACATATGAAACTACATGTCAAAACACGTGGCTGGGTTTCTGACACTAGATGATGAGAATGAGCCATCAGCTCCAGGATCCCAGCACCAGAACCAAAGATTTACTCCTCTTCCGTTTTTCTGTGTGTCCTTCGTCCTGCTCAGTACTAACTTCACCTATGTGTTTTCTTCTATTTGACTTTCTACAAGATACCTCAATGGTACAAAGTCTACACAACTCAAAAATGTAAACAATCACTTAAAAAAAATTGATTTAAACCCACTGTTTAGGAAATTCAGTCCTGTGGTTCTGTGTCTAAAAGCATCCAATCTGAGTGATACAGCAAGTATGATATGCATCAGCATTTGATCTCTGGGAGGCCTTGAGACACTGGCAATTGCACAGGTTACACAAAACACAGATTGCGCTTCAGATCCCCAAGCCAGAAGCAGGGGGAATATCAATGCAAAGGCTGATTTGTAATGATGTAGCCTTTTTTGGTGTGATGACCTCTATTGCCTTTTTAATAACAGAAACACTGGCTCTAAAAAATATACAGTAATAAACAGAAAACATTTCAAGAATGGAAGAATGAGACAAAATAAATTTAGTCTGTTTAGTGAAGCCATATGCCATTTGGAAAACATTGTTACCAGTGCGTTTGTATACCATAACTCTCCATTCTAGATCAATTAAGGGACACCGAGAAGCAGTTGAGCTAGATCTGTCTCCAGTTTTACAGAAACGGATGGGACCTTACATTGCAAATTGTTCCCTTGTGATACCTTTTCCATGCCTGGTTTGTCTTCTGAAGTCAAGTCCTGTTCATATTCCACTACATTAGCAATTAACTCCTGCTTCGCTACCAAGCATCTCCTCTTATCAAAAAGAAACTGGAGACTATTTGTCAGTTTGTGAGACAAATAGTAGCTGGCAAGTGTCTATCACAGTCACTAAACAGTGTGGGAAAGGTACCATCACTAGGAATAAAAAACAGTACGAAGACAGCACTGTAAAGATTGAGAGAAAGAATAATCAGCTTGCAAAAAACCCTTCCAGGCACTCTTCTGCCTGTGTTCAAAAGCTCAGTGACAACCAAACATACATTCAGTGTTCAAAGACTCAATATTGGCCATTTAGGGAAGAGAGTCGTATCACCACCTTTAACACCACACTCAAACCTCTTCTACTAAACTGAATTTTGCACTGTAGCAAGAGGTAAGCCAGGACTATCTGTGATTCTCCACTTCATTGCCAAAAAATAAATTCAGATGCCATGTTCTGATGATGTTTTCCTAAGCATCTACCAAATCATTAATTTTAATGGAGAAAATTAATCAAAGCTTCTTAAGGTAGGCAAAAATTCTTTTGTCTTTGTACTGCATATTGCTCTATACACGCATAACCACTGACTTTATAAATCAAACATAGCACTGTCAGTACTGAAGACTTAACACATTTCAACTAAGGGCAAAAGAACTTGTAGCTGAAAAAACAATAGAAAGCTGAATAAGTGCTGGGCTCAATCACTAGAGGGAGTCATGACCATATATTAAGTTACTGTAATACACAGACCATTCTGAACACTATTATGAAACACATAAAAGAGAAGACCATCACTTAAATCTGGATGTCATTCAGAGAAAAGAGAAAATTAGATTTGCTTCCGTAACAAGGTTTTATTTCCAAAGACTCAAGACCTCCTGGGAACTTTCAAATCATTTGTAATGAAAGGTTTTTAAAAATGTATCTTATTGCCTACATTTTAAGACAGAATAAGGTATGTGACAGAAGAAAGCCAAAATTATCAGTTTTGGAAATGACATGCAGCATTGCATCAAGAAAATGTTAGAATTTTAATTTAAGCAGCTTTACAGCCCATTTCACTCAAAATCAAAAAGTAACCTTAACCATGTTTTTATTTTTAAACTAAACTGGCACAATTACATCCAGCATGAACAGGCAGTACCAAAAGGCTGCTTTTTCAACAGATGATTCCCCTTGGCCATTAATAAACTTAGAAAAAGCATTTCCCTGACAGGCTGTGAGAAGCAGCCTGGAAAAGAAAAAAAAAGTTAATAACTCAAACATTACCACAATTCTTTTATTTGATCATTTGATCAATTGTGGGTTTGAGGGTTTGCTTGGTTTATTTTTAATATATGAAATGTCTTTTTTATATTGGTGAGATTTTTTTCAATTTGGCCAGCTGCACTCATGGGAATCTATAGTTGGCTAACAATTTTACAACTGACTGAATAGTTTCGTTAACAGCAGCAACACATACGAAGCTTTTAACACCCAGCTTGAATCCTGCCCATCATTAGTAAGGCAGAGCCCAGAACACAATCATCTCTTGAACCAAAATCTACCACATACCTCAGGAGACATATTAGCAAATGCAGCCCAAGGCGAACTAAGAGTGCTTGCCCAGTGCTCAGTTAGAGAGTATTTGAAAGCTTTACATTCAACATGTTTACACCGAAGGTTGAAATTCTCCACACTTCTGTTGCTTACACAAGTCAGCTAACAATGCAAGGCAAACAGTCCAAGAGCCTTTTTGAAAGATAGAGGTATTGTTTTTAACAAGAACAGACAATGGGTTCCTAATGTGAGGAAATAAAACAGTGTGAGAAGCAAGAATATGTGCACTGAGGATGAGAAGCGCTTTCCGGCATGCTACGGAACCACGTTAAGAAATCCTATGTGTAACCAATGCAATCTGGAAAGTTAAGTTCTGGCAGACAAATTCATTTCCCTGATTAGACATTCACTCCCACACCAGGGCAAAGGCTTAAACACCCTCTGGTTTCAAATACATATCTCATTCTATAAACAGACTGCTCCTCCCAAAGCCTAGCAGTACTTTGCCACCAAAACTGCAAACATACTTTTCCACCACCATCTATACAAACTGGTCTTCTAAGTAGTCAAATCACAGTCCTCAGGGCTCTTACTCCCTTTCCTATACTCAGATGACTACTTTGCACATTTTGCTGTGACATTCCCTTTCCAGATGAGATGGTCTGGGAAAGCAGCTCACTTTCCCTTGCAAACACTTTAGCTCATAAAATAAAGCTGGATAAACTCTTCACCGCATCTGCCCACAGTTCTTCATCTTTTTCTTCCTGCAAGGATTTAAGTGAGCAAAAAACTCTTCATCAGCATGGGAAAGAATAGAAGATAGCATAGAAGGCTCCATGGAACAGCAAGGAAATCTAAAGAGCCATACTCTCAGTTTGCAGTCCTTGTTTTCCTTTTACAAGCTTTAATATAGCAGTGTCTTGCTACCAGCATCCACTATCAGTATCACTTACCTGTTCGTGATGGTAGAGTTCTGCTCTTTCAGCTCAAGCTCCCTTTGCTGCAGGGCCACAATTTGCCTTGAGAGATCATCAGGCGTCCTACACAATTAAAACAAAATAGAAACTTTTAACAAATTATTGGTTGAAAAACTATGTTCCATATATAACCATAAAAAAGGTCTCACGAAAAGCAGACAAGACAATTTCACCGGGCCAAAGTTGCTGCAGTCCCTTAGAACAGAGGGTTGCATCCTGTCCAGTTTACATAAAAGCCTGTTTTATTAAAGCCATTGCTGTATGCTGTAATCACCATCCAAGTTGCAGCATCTCACCACTGTTCACTTCAACCCATAAACTAACTCTAAAGCCGTAGAGTCAGCAAGACCAAATTCTTCAAAGCAAGCAGCCTGCATAAACATTCATACAGGTGAACAGACACCTGTTCTTGAACTTTTTTTTTTTTTTTAACATACATAAGAATAGGTGTTCACAACCTCCTCCCCATCTTAGTGCTCAGCACAAATAAACAGAGGTGAGCACTCCCTGCATTACTCTAACTGCTACTCAACTATGGAGTCTCAGTGGAGCATGATCACAGGATCATTACCAAGAGGGTAAGAAAAGGAGGAAGTAAACGTACATATAGACGGCACAATTCAACAGCTCTGGCTACTGCTGAATAACCTGATAGTGTAGAGGTTCAGCTACATCACAGGTGACTCAAAGCATTGTTCCCACACCATTACCAGTGTTCTGACTTCAGAGTCCATCATACAAGCAGTGACTCCAGAGCCATGGCAGGGGGCAGGGCAGGTGGGTAGGAGTGGAAATAATCCATCAGCTCTAGATAACACTTCAGATACCATTCTTTTCTTGTCAAAGACATCAAAGATTTCTACAGATACACTAGCAATAGCCCTGCACTTGCCAGGAATAGGTGTATTTTTCCATCAAATCCAATGACGAATTCTTAAAACTAGTGGAATGGGATCAAGATAATTCTAGACTGACAGTCCCAGAAACCACTACCCCACAACAACAACAGTCTCTGCAGGAGAGTTGTTTGTTCAGAAACCTCTCTTTAAACCGTGAGCGTCAGAGATTCAACTTAAAATGAAGGCAGCTTATGAAAAAACACAAAAAGATTTTTCTCTTGAGCCACCAGAAAGGGTTTCCCATCCCAAAAGAGAACCATCTGTATCACACTTCTCAAAGGAAAGGAAGCTGGAAAGGGCATCACAGTATGTTCTGGGTACCTCCTTTTGCTACAGCAAGATGTATCATCCCTAAAGGTGCATCAACCCAAACCTTGAAAGGGTTTTTTCATAAGGAGCGAGTGGGAAGCTAGTTTTGCAGAAGTGAAATCTGTAGAAACACATTCTGTCGTGTCCCCCAAGATGCAAGTCAAGGCTTCACTGTGGCTGGCAGCTGAAATTAAGCCTGGTCAGATTTTACACTATTCAAGTGCAGCCCTGGAATGAGGCTCCTGCCACTCGAAAAACTGAATAGCTAGGAGATGCACCTCTAGCTTGACCATTGGGATTCTGACTGAATCTAGGACTAAAGAAGCCATTTCTCTGATGATACCACTTTCCAGCCAACTATTCACATACAGAAAAGGCATCACTTTTTCTCTTTAATGATCTGTCACTTCCAGCCAAGTGAAAATCAGTGAAACACTGAGCTGATGCAGATAGTCAGGATTCAATTCCGGCAATCCCAATTCAAAGTTTCCTGCTTTTTGCTTCCAGAATTGCATAGTCGTAGCCTTCCTCAGCAGCAAACTTTGAAGCCTCTAATACCACTTTTGTTACATGCAAGTCTTAACAGTTGATATATAATAAAACAGATGGACGTCGTCTTCCTCAGACAATGGAGACATATTGCGGCAGTCAAAGAAATCTGTCAGAACAGGATGAAACACTGTCCTTCAAAGATGTCACACTCTATGGCCAAGGAAACTATGAGAAGAAACCAAGACACTAAGTCAGAGATGGCTTGATTAAAACATCTAAAATTCAAATTCTGGTAGCAGAGACAAGTCAATTTTAAGCCAACATGCACCTGGGTTTTCAAATGTGTTGCAGCACTAGATAACACACTTCAAACTCCTGCAGCTGAGCCTGGAGGGATTCTTAATTTAAGCAGTTCCCCATCTCTTTACTGAGGGATACTTAATGGCTGGGTATCAGAGCAAACACTGGAGAACTAATTCCACCCAGTCTGATGCAAGCCACATCTCCACATAACTCAAGAGCAAGGGAAAAACAACACTGGTTTCTTGGAATCTCAGATCTGAAGAGCTCAAATCTAACACTGCTCTAACTTAGTTTTCCAAGTTGGAGGACTCGGGTTCTTCCTCCTGGTATATAAATGGAGAACTAAATGATAACATATGCCAGAAAGTGGAAGACAATTGGTTTTGCATGCTCCACAATGTCTGCAGGGAAAAAACAAACAAACAAACAGCAAAAAACCTACAACAGAAGTCTATAAAGCTACAATTTGATTTCAACATGGGTTCATTAGCTTCTATCTGCAGGAAGCAGACCTCTGACTCAGATTTCCTCCCCCCCCCAATGAATTAAGGAAGTAGATGTTCTCTTTCCACAGTAGTTTCTAACTAGAAAAATCTAGAGATAAAGTAAGGATAAAGGCAACATTGTATTAGTGCTGATAAGAAAAAAAAAAAAAAATTATGAATTATGTTCCTCTTCCCACTTCACCATCTTTCACCTACTAGAGTCACCAGAAGCTAAAAAACAGAAAACACCAGACAGAAATGGACTGGGTATACTTAGTCTGTTTGGCAAAATGAAGCTATAAGCAGACACACCAATTTCAACATGGACAATCTTTGAAAATTTAATGCCAAGTCAACAAGGCTCTGAAAAATGCAGTTCTAAGCCTCTCATAATTCAACCAAATATAGCAGATTAATCACAAGGATAGTTAGTATAAGGCATCTCTCTTGCCATGTTGAGTGCTAGCCCCCAATACCAGTGTTTGGTCCCTATATCAATGAAATAATTGCACGGATTTTTTTAAATGGGCAAAAAAGTGGTTTTGCGTTGATTTTTTTCTTATTTTCTCAGAAATTCATATCATAATATATTAGGACTGAGATAGAGAACTGAAATTAATCCAATAGTAAAATGAAACAGGATTACAAAAGCCACAGATTTCTAGTAATGATAGCTACTGACAGATTTCCAATAAAAAAAACAATCATCCTCATCTGTTCGGCAATTCAAATCAACAACCAGCTTCCAATCTCAGTTTCAGCAATTGGCAGCTTTAGGTTTATACTTATTTCTGGAGGATGTTTTATTGGCATTAGATACTTTTTTTTTTTTTTTTTTTTTTGAAGTGGAGCAGCATAGATATATAACAGAAAATAAAGTCAATGGTATTAACCCCCTCTAAAGAAGAGTTGACTTTCTATAAAACTAAATCATGTCAGGTGATCAGAGACCAAGACACCCCTTGCATGCACTCTGCTGTCAAATACCTTTATTGAGAGGTTTCAAAGCCCATTTCTGAGGTCTACAGCCTATCCTGATCACATACAATTTGGCAAAAGCCAGATCTACACAGTTCCAAGTAGAGGAATGACACTGCATGCACAATCAAATTAAATCAGACGAGCTTTCAATTTTGAAGAGAATTGGTCAACTCCCAAAGCACTGCAAATACCAACCAGCCCTCATTGCTGCAAACAGCCCTCTCATTTCACAAGTTTCTGAAAACAATGCCACATAAAGACAGAAATTTGTCAGCATCCCAACACACACTTCTGTGTGTGTTCTGGCCTTGAGAGCCTTTGTCTGATGGGCTAGCTGTATATCATTTTTGCTAAAGCTCTGTCCATTCCCTATGGAACAGTTGATATCAAAACCAGTATTAAAAAGCCAAGAAGTCTGCTTTAAGATAATCTGTCTGACAATGTAACTTAACAACACTACTTGAATCACCATTGCTACTTGAGGGGAGTTTGAAACTCTATCCTTACATAAATACACCCAGAACTCCCTTTCTGAGAAGCTGCTTCTTTCTGCACTGTCACTATGTTTGCCCTGCAGACAGCTTCCCTCCCCATGTAACGATGCAGCCCATGGAACCACAAAAAAAAACCCCATGCAAAATCCTGTAAATGAAACACACGCACTTAATGGTATGATTCAAGAGCAACGTGTTATTAAAACGGAATCATATGCTATGTAATTAAAAAGACAACATGAAGAACAAATGACAAAAAATGGCTTCCAAAATGCGGGTGCAGATTAAATCTATGACTTCAATTCCTTTCTCCCGAGTAAGTCACAAGGAGCCAAAAGCTAGAACGTTCTTTCTCTGTCCCACCATCCCATCCTGAGACCACATTTCCTCCTGCAATAATATTTAAGCAAAAATCGTAAGACCAAACAAACGGGAGAACTTAAGCCTAATTTGGAAACAAGATTTTTTTCCCTAAACGAGCAAATTAATCCAGCACAGTAAGGCAGGAGAGGGACGAAATTTTTGTTAACCAAAGCTCTTTGACTTCTTTTGAAGTGCAGATAATTTGAAAAGGAGCAATTTAAGAAAGATAAAAACCTAAAACTGTTCAAATGAAGTGAAAAATTAACTTAATGGGATGCCCATCCAAGTCACTCAATGACTTTCAAGAACCCACTGGCACACTTTTTAAACTTTTAACAAGGGCTTATGCATTTTTTAATTTTCAAATGCACACAACTGGCATTTCATAGACATTTGCTAGAAAGCTGTTGAACTATCTTAGTTAAGGATCTATTACCATTTCAGTAAAAACTATGACAGTTACACACTGAGAATTAGCTGTTGAAGTAACATTAAACCAAGACTCAGTAAGCAGATGAAGATGTTAAAGTAAAAATTGGAATATTTTTTAATTTATAATTTATTAGAATGTCAACTTCTTATTGCTTCTATAAAATGTTTCAAAATTCCCAACATAGGAAGGGGTTTGATTGTAGCTAGATAGCCGACATTAAATTTTAACTATGGAAGTACAGACAAAATTAAAACTAAATAGAAAAACAGGCACTTAGTCAACTCTTTTCGGAGGACTAAGTTCT